TATATAAAATAATCAATATGTAGGATATGCTGTTTCAATGAAATAGAAATTTATATATATATATATATATATATGTATCTTTCACACTGTTCTGCATAAATATGTGCAAAGATTACATGACAGTAAAGAGTAAGTGTTTTTAAAATTAGAGCATGTGATATCAAACAATATATGCAGTAACAAAATACAAACTAAATCTGGTGTGATTGTTGCAGTATAGTTTGTTCAGGGCATCACACATGAATTTGTAGAGCTGATGTGTCTGTGTTATATCAACACTCCCTCATATTTTGTGTCATGCCACCATAGAAACACTTGTTTTATTAGAAGTCCAGCTTATAGTGTATAGCACTGTGATAAAAATTTATTTCAATGGTGTTAATTCCTCTCTAATTGTTACATGTAAAATTCTGAGTATCATTCACTCTGACATACAATGTTTTCTATAAATGTGTCCTTAGCTTAACAAGAATCAATGGCACCATCAGCAATTATTTTGGCTAAAAATTTGTGCAATTACCTTTGTAAGCAAGCATTTCTGCATATATAATCAGCAACAAGGCCAATGACATTATGATTTTTGGAAAGTAAATATCACTGGAATAGCCATGATGAAGAACTGATCAAGTGTTTTCTTTTGCTCTTGTCAAAATATTGCTCAGCTCATCATTTACCTTTATTTTTATTTACATTTATCTTTAGAGATTTGACTTCATGTTATTCAACCATATGTTATCTTCAGGACAGAACCTGACCTTCTATCTCTGTCTACTCAAATGTGAACAAAAGCACTAACCCTTAAGCACTAGTAAATTGTTCTGCCCTCCATTAGACAAAAATGACAAAAAGGAAAAACTCACCTTTTACTCTTAGTGATCTTGTAAGAAATTTTTAGAAGCAGAGAGTTATGTATGTCAGAGACATCAGGTAACTCCTGTGTTCTGTCAGTTCTAAAGCAGATTAAAAGCCTCGCTGTACTCTATGGAAAATTCCCCTCTTTACTGACTATCATTTTCTCTGAATAAGGAGCTCAGTCTAATTTATCAATAGAGATGTTGAATGTAATTAAGTACGACTTTTGTCCCTTGATACGGAAACCTTAGATTAGAAGCTTGAGTCTAGGAAAAGAATTTCAGTCTTGACCAAAATTTTGATTAATTGATTTGACAGACACTTGGACTCTGAATTCTGATCAATAAATAAGTAAAATACTTGGCACAACCTACCTATAAAAACAATCTACTAGAACCTACCACCAGTGTGACCTAGTAGAGATACGTGAACAGTTTTACATGTGTCTGTCCCTAAAGATTTCCTCATTGAAATGTATTTACTTATTTACTGAAGTCCCTGAACATGAGACATGAATTTTCTAAGTATAGTGCTTGATTCCAGAGGGAAAGAAAGAAAAATGGCAAGCTCATTAGTAAGTCCCCACTCAATTTTTCACAGAAGGTGAAACGTGAAAGCTGCCCATGGTTTCACCTGAATGTTCATGTTAGCAAGTGGATGCAAAGTTTATATCAACTTAATCATTCTTTGTTTCTTTTGTGGTATTTCTCTGTACAACATATTAAGTTAGAAGTACTGAGTGTCTCCCTGGGAAGGAGATCTGTCTTAGTTATAGTTTCCATTGCTGTAAAGAGACACCATGACCATGAAAACTCATAAAGAAAACATTTAACTGGGGTGGGTCAATAACAGTTTCAGAGGTTCAGTCCATTATCATCATGGTGGGGAGCATGGTGGTGTGCAGGTAGGGGTGGTGCTGGCTACATCTTGATATGCAGGCCACAGGAAGTGGACTGGCACACTGGTTGGTATCCTGAGCATAGAAAAGCTCAGAGCCTGCCTCCACATTGATACATTTCCTTTATCAAGGCCATACTCACTCCAATAAACTCATACTTCCTAATAGTGCCACTCCCTACTAGCTTATGGAGGCCAAATACATTAAAACTATCATGCTGTTGTCTAGAGATTGAATTTTAAATATAGGAATATAATGAATGTAAAGCTACTTACTATTTTGCTCCAAGAGCAAACCAAAGTATACGAGACTTAAAACTGTAGCTATATATTATGTATACACTAAGAAATTGTATAGTTGTGTCATGCAGTAGTAATTAGTCTAATTCTTCTAGAAGTTAAAAAATACACAATTTTAGTTTGGCAGAAAAAATTATAGGACTAGATTATTTTATTTTCTATAACATTTAGTACATTTTCCCATTCATCTACACTTAATTTCTCCATCAAGTCACCTACACTGAATTTGAGCAGGGGTAGAGCTATTTCTATTGAGGAAAATTCCATTTGTTATTTTCCTATTATATTTTCAGATTCTTGTATTTTACTATATTTTTATTATTGAAAACAGTTTTTAAATTTAAATACATATTGATCAAATTCTTCTGCTCCCCCAAATTCTTCCAGACCCTCTCCTCCTCCCTACCCACTGAAATTTAACTTCTTCTCAACAAACAAAACCAATACAACAATAAAACCAAACCCCCAAAAAAACAACAAAAATTTCACCAAAGTATAAAGAAATAAAAGTGCACAATTAAACTGTGGCATCCATTATATGTTCGTCAAATATTCTTATAACGAAAAATAAGATTTATTTTTTTATTGTGTGTATGCATGCATCTGTGTGTAGATATGTGCACATGAGTGTGGGTGTCGGTAGAGGAGAGAGAATGGCATTTGTTCCTGAGAATCTGGAATCGAGCCAGTTGTAAGCAACCTGACATGGGTGCTCGAAACACACCTCAAATTCTAGGCAAGGACCTTATGCATTTTAATCACTGAACCATCTTCTCAGCCCCTATGATTACATTTAGAAATATTTTGCAAATATTTTCTTCTATCCAGCATCATCATGTATGTTTATGTTCACATATAAGCCAGTGTGTATGTATAAAGGTCAGAGGACATCTTTCAGGAATAAGTTCTCTCCTTCAGCCTTTGGTGAGTCCTGGTTATTAAACTTGTGTTGTCAAGTGTGGCAAGTGTGTTTAGCTACTGAGCCATCTTACCTGTCCTCTATTCCTAATGTTATAATGTCTTGGAATGAAAACATTACATCACTACTATTCTTATACTCAAATCAGCTCATGTTTTCATAGACACGCTAAGTTTCTCTAACTTATTTTAAGTTTCTTGTTCTAACCAGCATTTTTATTTTGAATGACATTGTACAGAATATTAAATTCAGTGAAACAAATTTTCTCAGTAATTGTTTCATCCAATTCTAGTTTATTGTTTATAAAAATTATAGACAATAGGAAAATATATAAAACGTTTTGAAGTACTCATGAATTTACATAAGTAAAATACAAATTGACTTTTAAAATAATTGATATGACCAATTTTAAACATCATCACTCATTAATTCTTTGTGGCCTGTTACTTGATGTGATATCAAAAGTGACCTTATTTATATTAAAAATGTGTTATTGGGGCATATATAATTCTGAATGTCTCCTCAAATGTTGATGTTAGTAATTTTTATCTTTCTCTGAAATATAATTTATATGTAGTCACTAAAATTGATTGATAGAAATAAAATATGTTAAAATTTCAATAATTTAAATATTTTATGATTTGATGGCTATCAATGATGAATAGTGTCATTTTATTTTTTCATGTTGAACTTTCTATTACTAAATTACAGTATTTTAAAAATATAAACCTATGAATACTTGGCATTTAACTGTATAATAAATTCAATTCTGTTATCAACTGTTTCATCTCTTCATTAATAGATCTCAATATGACTATTCATACACTTTTATTATTCCAAAGGACACTTATTTAGCAATTGATTGGTGACACAGATATATTTGGTACATTTTGCAAATAAAATGTCATGAAATTTAAGGAGGAAATACTTTCGTAAACCTTGATGGATTAGGATGAATATGTATGAGGAGTTTACACAATATATGAAAATGTATTTCTGTAATATATTGCTGTACTTTTGTTAGAAATATAGCACATTTTTATTTGTGAGATTATGCCTGCTCTCACAAATAATATAATATAATATAACACGCCATAATATGTATAATAAATATAATTATGATATATTATATTTGGTGCCATCAATAAATGTATTGAATCCAATAGCGTTCTCACTGTTGCATGAGCTAAATAAAAGGGTATCTTTCCAATAGAGAACAACAACAATACTTCATTCGTTCAGATATTATATGCAAGAAAAAGACAGCACAACATTTAAACTATTTTTATTATTTTGATTTAGAGAATTAAATTATGTAGAAAGAAGAGGCAATAAAAGTTAAAAATTGAGCCAGTAATAAAAATAAATAAACAAAAGGAAGATTTATAGAAGCCTTTGTAGCAGAACTTAAGCATCCATCTGAAGTGGAACATTCACTTAAAGTCACATATACACGAATTAGAAAAAATAGACACTACAAACAAACTACAGGATATTTGAGTGACAGAGTGTACCAAATTAACCAGACCTAGGGGCAACATAGATGAAAGTAATGTTGATGATGAGAAAAAAAGAAGAGCCATAGATGGCCCTCATGGGATGGGCAATTAAGCAAGGTCTGTGGTGATTTATTAGTAAAGCAGGGGAAATTGCTTAATCAAGTTAGATTTTCATATAACTCATAGAAATGAGTGGATCCTAAAAGGTAAAGAAGATGTTTACATGAAAAATGCAACAAATAAATCAAAAATGCAAACTCCATTTAAGCCTGCTATACAGCTCCGGTTCTTTCTTAACATTACAAAGCTATACCATTATTTGTGATCTTTATACTCTAAGAATATTTTGAGTGATGGTGTATCTAACATTGTTAATATAATCTAACCCTCTTCATTAAAATGGAATGAAGACTATTGTTTTCTTCAGGAATGCATATAGAGAATTTAGATGTTTGACTACCAGGGAGAATGCTATCATTTAATTCTATGTTGATCCTTTGTACTTGCTAAGTATTTTTGTGGAAAATAAAAATTGAAGGACTCCAATCCTACCTGTATTTCAAAGGAAAACACTGTGTATTTTTTTCCCTGTCCTATGAAGGGCATCTTTTACATCCTTGTTCCTCAAGCTGTAGATCAAGGGATTCAACATGGGGATGATCAGGGTGTAAAAGATCGAAGCCACTTTATCTGTGTCAAAGGAGTGACTGGATTGGGGCTGCACATACATGAATATCAAAGTCCCATAGAAGACAGTGACCACTGTCAGGTGGGACCCACAGGTGGAGAAAGCCTTGCGTCTGCCCTCAGCAGAGTTCATCCTGAGAATGGCTATGAGGATGAGCAGGTAGGACACAAGAACAACTAGGAGAGAGGAAATCAAATTAAAAGCTGCCAAGAACAGCATTATCACTTCAATTTCTTGTGTATTTGAGCAGACCAAAGATAACAAAGGGAGACTGTCACAGTAGAAATGACTGATGATGTTGTAGCCACAGAAAGACAAAGTGAAAATTTTAATTGTGATTAGAAGAGCCACAGTTGTGCAGTAAAGATAAGGAATTACCACCAGCACCCAACATACTCTTTTTGACATGATGACCATATAAAGCAGAGGCTTACAGATGGCCACATAGCGGTCATAGGACATTGCAGACAGAATAAAGAGTTCACAAGCAATGAACAGAAGAAAAAAGGCTACCTGTGTAGCACAAAGGTTAAAGGATATTCTGTTTTGACCAACAATAAAATTTGTTAACATTTTGGGACCCACAGCTGTTGAATAACCAAGATCTGTAGTAGCAAGATGTCTGAGAAAGAAGTACATGGGTGTTTGCAGTCTAGAATCCACCATGGTGAGGATAATCATGCCCAAGTTGCCCACCAGTGAAATCAGATAGATGATGAGAAACAGTCCAAACAATGGGGCCTGTAACTCAGGGTGGTCAGTTACTCCCATCAGGATGAATTCAGTCACTACTGTGAGGTTGTGGGTCTCCATCCTAGCTTATAAGAAAGCCTGTTCTGATTAGAGAAATCAGCATCATAAATAGAGTTTAATTATTGTTAATTGGAGGAATATTTATAAAATATTATAGGTAAAATAAACCTGATTCTTTTTCAATTTTCAAAATTTAAAAATCTTTAATATGCATATATAACATACCTCCACATGCTTTTAAAAACAAAAATGCAGATTTTTAAAAACAGATGCAGATTGCAAGAATGAATCTAAACTAGATTTATGCTACAAAATAACAATTCCCAGTAATCAGATTGGTCAATACCCTGTCATCGTAGAGCCTTTATCCAGTAACTGATGGAAACAGATGCAGAGATCCACAGTCAAACACCAGGCCAAGCTTCAGGAGTCCCGTTGAGGAGAGAGAAGAAGAATTCTATGAGCAAGGGGCATCAAGATCATGATGGGGAAACCTACAGAGACAACCAAACCAAACTAGTGGGAACTCATGAAATTTAGAACCCCTATGGAGCCTCCACAGGACTGGATTAGGCCCTCTGTATAAGCGAGATAGTTGTGTAGCTTCATCTGCTTAAGTGGCACCCTGGCAGTAGGATCAGGATCTATCTCTGGTGCCTGAGCTGGCTTTTTGGAGCCCACTACCTATGGTGGGACATCATGCACATCCTTGATGTGAATACTCTATTGAATCTACCAGGCTCTGCTGACTCTCCATGGGAGGCCTTACCTTCTTGTAGGAGGGAATGGGAGTTAGGTTGTGGGGAGAAAGCTGGAGAGGTGGGAGGAGGGAACAGGGGAATCTGTGATAAGTATGTAAAATGAAAAAAAATTGTAATAAAAAAACAACAACAAAAATCCCAAAATAACATAATTCAATGTTTACAAATATTTGGTTTTTTGTTTTGTTTTGTTTTTTGGCTGGCAGATAAATCTCTCCTCATATCTGGTGGCTACAACCCACCTAAGCTGTGAAATATCCTATTTCATTGAATATTTAGCCTCTAATAATATTTAGTGTGATATTTTACTACTTTCAAGATTCATAAACCTAGATAGATGGAAGATAAGGAGACAGTAAGTAAAAAGATAGCTGAAAATAGAGATTGGAGATATAATTTATTGACATGTGTACTAAAATAACGTTTGAATATGTTAAAAACTGGATGTCACTTATGTAAAGTTTATTGCACTTTTTTAATACTCTTTGTTCTTCATTTTTATAAATATAAATGATTGTGATATATAAATAGTATATTTAGTAATATCTCATAATGCATATACTAATCATCCTTCAAGAGCAGCTAAAATACATACAAAAAAATCTACCACTCTCCTTTAAACTGAATTATGAAATACTTATACTTACTGATATAGTAGCTAAAAGTGTTAGCTTGTAAAAGATATTGAGTAGAAGTGTAAGATAACTATAGAAAATCAAACTCAAATTGGGTTTTTATGAAGGAACTAAAGAGAATATATTCAGATACATATTCCTGATGTATTTGAACATAGTATATACACAAAGGTAAATTTTGGCAAATACTTCATTGAAAATACTTTTTAGCATGTTCCAACCTGACATACCTATTCATGGTTTGAAGAAATGAATGATGATTTTGTACAATGTTGTATCTATTCTTCTCCAAGAAACTTTCAAAAGTCACATGTACATACTGGTTTGCATTTTTAGCCAGGGCATAAACTCACCACAAAGAGACTGTGTTCACAAGTGTTTTTGTACATCTTGCTGGTCAGTACTGAATTCTTTACTGATCTGAAATGATAAATCGCTAGGTCAAGCATCTTGTTTTTCACTGGACGTATTTCAGGCTTTATCTTCACAATGCCAAGAGTATATGGGATTGTGTGCTGTGTTTCAATTCTTGAATATTTGAATAATAATTAAATAAATAATATGTGTATATGATATAAATGTGTGGTCTTCTGAATTTTTCTTTAAGGACATATTTCAATATGATCTTGATAACTTTATTTGTATATTATAGTCAAGCACTTATAAACATATAAAGATGTCTGAGCAAATTAGGAAGAATGATTTTTAGTATTGATTTAAAAATGAAGACTCAAAATTCTCCTTGTATAAAGGAACAAGAAGTGTGTGGTTTATAATAATAAAATTTAGTACTTCATATTCCACATATTTTTATATGGTAAACAACACTATAAAGATAAAATCAAATAAAAGATTAAATTGCATGGTAATTTGATATGACTTGAAATATTCCTGTGTATCATGTACACAATTTTTTGGCAAATATAATCCAGAACACATTGGAGGTAACTTCTAAAATCATAGGATATGTATATGAACACATCCCACATCTCATAGATTAAAAATATATAGGAGTCGAAATTATCAGTTTTGTTGAATATTATAATCACCCACATTGAATGAATAAGAAGAGATTACAAGTAAGAAGACAATTCATAGTGAGGATGCTGGACATAACTGGTTGTGTAATCTATAAATTAGCAGTAAGGTCAAATCCTTTGTAGCTTATGTAAAAACACTATATTTAATTTGCTTTACTCACTTAAATGTTGTTTATAGTTTATGGTCTCAGATACCTTCGATATATGAGAAAATATTAAATTATAACAAGGAAATTCCTTAAATAAATGCTTTATTTCCATTTTATTGCTGTATTTTGAAATGTTGAAAACTTATAAAAGAAGCTGCAAGACATAAATAAAATACTTCTAAAATGGTAGTTTAAGCTGTATCCTATCTATAGATTTAAGAGTCAATAGAAGAGCCAAACATATTTTTCAGAGTTACTATCTTTACTGAGTATTGGAAGACAGCTTTCCAAGCACTAAAAAAATTCATTATTAAAGTGTAGAACAAATTGTCATAATCATAAAACTGGAAAAATATTATCTCATATTCAAATAATGTTAGGCACACCTTTGATGACTTGGACATTTCATTTGCCTCTTGAATAATTTAGAAATTAATTACATCTATATATTTATAAAAAAAGTATTATTGTTTCAGAGAAGCAAAGATAACTGAGTATTAGACACAAGAATGTGATATGGACTCCTTGAATTTCAAATTCTGTCATAAAAAATCAGGGCAGTAAATTCATATTTAGATCATATTAAAAATGCAACTTATATTAAACTGTATATATGGCATATTTTAATAAGCTGTATACAAAAATAGATTTGACAAATATGTCATCTAAAGCTCTTATTAGCATATATAAAATCAACATGTCTTATATTTGATTTGTGAAAAATAAATGAATAATAAATGAATCAGTAGGTCTATGATATATATACATATAAATACTCTTGGTGTGATAACATTTCTGAATAATTTTCAAAGATGCTTAAAAAAACTGACATTCTTTAGATACAAGTATTAAAAATTAACATGAAGAAAAACTGAGAGCATCATAGAGAATTCAGAAAGCACATAATTGGTGTCAGAAATGGACACTTAGAAATTGTTGGGAAAGGCTGAGATTTGACAATAATTGAAATCACTGCTGACATAGAAGGCTGTGTCACACTGTTACCTGTATGAAACGACTGTCTTGAATTCCCAGTTTAGTTCTTAAAATGGAGTTTCTAAGGTCAATTTATGTGTTTTTTGAAACCACAGAAATGTCTCTCTATGGATTTTCTAATCAAATCATTGATTGCACCTGAATAATTTGAGCATCTAATGAGGTGTCTAGAGGTTATAAAATAATTGTCAAGGAATGCTGTTATGCAACTATGACCTTATGTGTTTATTTATGTGTCTATCTAATTTATAATCCAAAAATCTACTTATATAAATCTCTCCATATGTGTTGGTACTAGGATCTTAAAAATATTAGTACTCTCACATTCACTATAGTATTTGTACTAGCCAAGATTTGAAAATTCATTCTAGAATTAATAAATAGAATGTCACTGGATATTGCAAATCTTAATGGTGAATTAATTTGAAATGTTTGATAGCTTGCATAGACTTGCAGAGAACATGATGAATGAGCTAAGACAAACACATAAATGCAAATTTTGCATGGGTCCCACTAAAGTAAATAAACAAATATTGGCTACACCTGCCCCAAACACAAACACAACCCAAAACAAAAAGAGAGAATTATTTCCTTTGGCCAGATCAGAACATGGAAGGGTATTTGTTTAGAGTTTACTGTTGTGCCAAACTGAAGTTACTAATAAACAGACTGAAGTGTCAGGCATTAAGAGTTACAAATGTGGAGACCTGCAGTGAAAGTCTATGCCAACAACCATCAGCATTCTGAGTACACTTGATGCAGTTTAACATTTTGTTTTCATGAATACACCACATGATCACATGAAATAGGAATGGAACTCAATCATATGGTTCAAAAGATATGGGAATTTAAAAAATGGTACTAGTTAAAACGGAGTCACGAAACTAAGAACATCTTTACCATGAATAATTCACAAAAACAAATACAACAGAAAAAAAAACAACAACATAGGTTTAGAAAACTTATTTCTAGTTCCCTGAGGAAGTGAGCGATTGGAGAAGAGTGATTACAAATCACTTTGAAATGGAAGAGTTTGTTTTGATTTGGCATTATTTTGTCTTGCTTTTGTCTTAGTTTCAGTCTTGTGGTTTTATCCTGTTTTTATTTTGTTTGGTTTTTGTGGTGGCAGAGAGAGACTGGGTTAAAGAAAGTGAAAGGAAGAGAGAGGGGGGCAGACCCAGGGGCAGGGAGAGAGGGAACATAAAATTGGTTAGGTAGGGTGGAGGGGAGGTTCTGGAGGGTCTGAGTGATGAGAAAAACATGATCAAAATATATTATGTGAAAAAATTAGTGAAAATCAGAGTATAATATCCTAAGCTACTTCCATAAAGTCTGATCGATGTGACTAAACAAATGTGAGATGAACAAAGAAGCCAGCAATGATCATGTCAAACTGGATGGGGAAAAGCACACTAGGCCTCCTTCCTGCACAAAGAACTAGAGACAACAGAGGAAAGCTGGGGAAGCAGAGGTGGCTTACGCAGGGAAGAGCGCAGTGTTTTGTTGTTCAATCCCAAACTACCAGCTCTGTAAACTTGCACACAAGTAA